TTCTTTAAGAAGATAAACAACATTGATCAACCTTTAGCCATACTCACCAAGAAATAAAGAGGATCCACATTAATAAAATCAGAATCAAAGATGTGAAGTAACAACTGACACCACAGAAATACAAAGAATTATAAGAAAATACAATGAACAGTTATCAGCCAACAAATTGGACAACTTACATGAAATTGAACAATTCCTAGAAACATACAGTCTTCCAAAACAACTGGGAAGAGTCAAAAAATCTGAACAGACCAATAACAACTAAGGAAATGAAAGCAGTAATCAATAAACTCACCACAAACAAAAGCTCTGGTCTGGATTGCTTCACAAAGAAATTTTACCAAACATTCAAAGAAGAACTAATACCTATTCGCCTCAAACTATTCCAAAAAATTCAAGAGGAAGGAAGAATTCCAAACTCTTTTTATGAGACCAACATAATCATAATCCCAAAACCAAATAAAAACACTACAAAAAAACAAAACTACAAACCAACATCCCTGATGAACATAGATGCCAAAATCCTCAACAAAATATTAGCAAATCAGATTCAGCAATATATTAAAAAAGGTGTTCACCATGACCAAGTGGGAGTGGTCTGACACAATATTCACAAATCAATAAATATGATATACCACATAAACAAAATGAAAGATAAAAATCATATGATCATATCAATAGATGCTGAAAAAGCGTTTGACAAAATCTAGCACTAATTTTTCTTTAAAGTTCTATTGATTTTTCAGAGAGAGAGGAAGGGAGAGATAGAAACATCAATATGAGAGAGGAACATCAATAGGCTGCCCCCTGCATGCCTCCCACAAGGGACCAAGCCCTCAACCTAGCATGTGCCCTGACCAGGAATCAAACTGGCAACTCTCAGACCATGGGACAATGATCAGTCCACTGAGTCACACAGGCTAGGCCCCATTTTTTGATAAAAACTCTCAGCAAAGTGGGAATAGAAGGATCATACAGCACATAATAAAGACCATATATGACAAGCCTATAATCAACATCATACTCGATAGGTACAAATTTAAAGTGTTGCCCTTAAGAACAAGAACAAGCCCTGGCCGGTTTGGCTCAGTGGTTAGAGCGTAGGCCTGCGGTCCGGAGAGACCCGGGTTCGGTTCCCGCTAAGGGCACGTACCTTGGTTGCAGTTTGTCCCCGGCCCTGGTTGGGTCGTGTGGATGGCAACCACTTGATGTGTCGCTTTCACGTTGATGTTTCTCTCTCTCTCTCCCTCCCACTGAACAAAATATCGAAAAATGTCCTCGGGTGAGGATTAAAAAAAAAAGAACAAGAGCAAGACAGGGATGTCCACTTTTACCACGCTCATTCAACATAGTACTAGAAGTCTTTGCCACAGCAATCAGACAAGAAAAAGAAGGCATCCAAATTGGAGTGGAGGAAGTGAAACTGTTATTATTCACAAGTGTGTTGTATATAAAAAACCTTAAAGATTCCACCAAAAACTATTAGATTTAATAAATAAATTCAGCAAAGTAGCAGGATACAAAATCAACACTCAGAAATTGTTGGCATTTTTATACACCAATAATGAACACACAGAAAGAGAAACTTTAAAAAACATCCTATTTACTATTACAACAAAAAAATTAAGATACCTTGGAATAAACTTAACTAAGGAGGTAAAAGACCTGTTCTCAGAAAACTATAGGACATTGAAAAAAGAAATAGAGGTAGATATAAAAAAGTGGAAGCATATACCATATTCATGGATTGGAAGAATTAACATCATTAAAATGTCCATACTACCCAAAGCAATTTATAGATTCAATGCAATTCCTATCAAGATACCAATGGTATATTTTACAGAATTAGAAGAAATATTCTAAAAATTTATATGGAACCACTAAACTATGATAACTCATTAAGGAGAATAGACATTTAAATTTAGACCATTTGTAAACTATAAGAAAATACCCAAGTAAAATTTTTAAAAATTATTTTAGTCACTTTCAAACACTGAGTGACACACACTTCACATTGTATCTTAGGGGATTGCTCTTTTTCTTCATTAGATCTGTACAGACCTTCATATCTTTTATCAAAAATAGGAATGCTGAAAGCTGTTCAGTATTATTCATAAGAAAAAGAATCAATGACAAAATGAGGAACAACTAATCTCAGGGCAAAAAAAGTCCTTTTATTCCCATGTCTCTTAATATACAATTATACAATTATCATTTCATCAAGTTCATCTGAAAATGTCCTTGCGTGCTTTAAAATAAGAGCTATTTCAGTAGTTCTCAGTGCTCCAAGTACTAAAAACAGCATCCTGGTTTTAGGGGCTGCTAATCCTACAAACACTTAGAGCTAGAAATCAATCCCTCTTCTCTGGAAACACTAGAACCTGTCTGGTAGAGGTGAGATACAGCCTCAGTTACTAAATTTAGTGCTACGCCAAATAGTGGACCTCATTTCTCTTTCAGCATCACATGGACCAGTACAGTTTTAGATTTATGTCACTGTCCTCCTGACTAGAGAGACTCCTGACCATTCATTTTCTATAACAGATCTGATTATCATTTTCATTAAGCACTTAAATTCCAAACCTCTGACAAGATAAGTAATTTTAATTTGAGCAGATGCCCTTCCTTTATTCATTCCACAGTCATTCACAATCCTACAACATCCTTAACAAGTTTGAAGCAACTGTGTTTTGATATTTATGTTTATATAAATAAGTCATGACTCATGAAGCTTCAAATTATTTATGTTCCAAAGTAACAGTTAAATAATATGTATCATTTAGAATTTAGGTATTCTTTAAGAATATTCATTAGTATAGGCTCTAAGTTCAGTGGCTAAATACTAATTTAGAAAGGTTCTATATTGATATGGTGAAGAAAACAGAATTTGAAGTTAGACTGTCTAAATTTGAATCCTGGTTGCTTCATTTATTAGCTGTGAAGCCTTAGGTGATTTTCTTAATCTCTAAGTGCTTGATCTCCTCAAATGTAAATAATAGACATAAATAAATACTCCAGCACTTTAAATGGTACTAAATGGAGACCTTGACAAGAGATAGGAGGCGGGGGGGGCGGGGGGATGAAGAGAGGCTGGGCACTTACTTTCCAGGTTTCCTCTCTGCAGGGTTATGATTTCTCAATGGCTAACTTTCCCTACATTTATAGCTCCTCTCTTATAGCTCCTTCACTGACTCTCTTTCTTGGCTCTAGCTATAATTAAGTTCTACTACACCATTCTTTCTTGGTACCCTTCTTCAGACCAGAGGTGGGTAAAATGTTATAATGTTCCTGGTTTCTTTGTGTCTTTAATCTTTTTTGTTTCTCTTATTTTACCACAACCCCTATAAATAGCTCCTTCATTAGTTTCTTTCCAGTTATATCCTTTTGAGCATGGCATTTATCTTCTACTGGGAGGTAGACTAATACACACAGAAAATATTGTAGACTTTATGTTTTTCACTGTAACAACTGTTGGCAGGATAAATTTCAGTGGCAAAATATTTGCTTCAGAAAAACTAGTGAAGAGGATTCAGCAAGTCTTGGTAAGATATGGCGATAGCCTGACCAGGAAAAAGGTAGTGAGCATGGATATTTGAGAAATACTGAGCAGTAAAGTATTTGAGAAATATTTAGATTGTGTAGTATTAGTTGTTGATGGAACAGATGGCAAAGGAGAGGGAGGGCTCAAAGGTGAAGGTCAGACTTCTATCTTAGGAAGTGACAGAGGACTTGATTATGCTTATGACCAATAGAGCAGAAGTTCTTCTGCAAAACTTATAAATGCAAGAGCAGAAGTACATTTACTGGGAAAAACAGCTAATGTTCTCACTGTTGAGTTTGAGATGTTTTTGTGACATAGAGTGGAGATGATCAGCAGGCCCGGAGACATACATGCAAGCCAAAGCCTCAGATAGTGCTCTGAACGTTAGATGTAGATTTGGGAATCATCAACTACAAATGGTTGTTGAAACTTTGGGGTGGTGTTAGGGAACACAGGCATTTAAGAATGGGCAGAGGAAAGGTGGCTATAAGAAAAAACAAAACAAAACAAAAAAAAACAGAAAAAAATGGACAAAGGAGAACCAAAACAATGTGCTCAGCCCAAAGGCCAAGGGAGTAAAGAGTTAAAAGAAGGAAGGCATTATCAAGACCATCAGTTGCAGAAATATCCGATGATCAGGGTTACTACTACAATACCATTTTATTACTAAAAAATTAGTTTTGACACTTTACTCACAGACTTGCATATACAAATTTTCTACCACAGTAACCAGCACATTATGGGCATTTGATAATTTTTAGTTAACTTTTCTAAAATTATTTACAAAAATTGACACAAAGAAGACAGTAAATATTGAATGTCAATTTTAAAAGTTAATAATAAATTGTATAAACTTTATTATAATTCAATATACCACTTTAACTTTGAAAAAGTTTAAACAGTGATCTAGAAAATAAAGTCTTTTTTTAAACATTTTTTTAATTGATTTTTTGAGATAGAGCAAGGGAGAGGGAGAGGGAGAGAGAGACAGAAACATCGATGAGAGAGAACATTGATTGGCCGTGTCCTGCATGCCCCCCACTGGGGATTTGGCCCACAACCTGGGCATGTGTCCTAACTGGGAATCCAACTGGCGACCTCTTGGTGCATGGGTTGATACTCAATCACTAAGCCACACCAGCCAGGCTAGGGAATAAAGTCTTTACTACTTTGGATGACTATGTGGTCAGGGTAAGCATCAATCGATAGGCTATAGATTTCTCAATCAACTTTTGGGTCCTGCTAGTTAAAACTAAGTCCTTATTGGCAGATGAGTTTGAGGGGGATTCTATCAAACAAAAAATAGTGAACAGTTTATGGTAAAGTATATAAGGCATGGCCAAACATGTAATAGATCTAATTTTGAGACTCTTTTTTTAAACATTATGGAACAAGAAATACTGGTGGTAATATCTATAAGGCTGATACAATCTTCACACATTTGAAAAAGAATATTTACCTTTTGATGTACACCTAACTGGCACATGTCTTCCTTAGATATGCAGGGTTTTCCACCAGCTTTCCTAGGAGACAGGCAAATGAGCAGATCCCAAGAGCCCAAATCACCTAATAACAAAAGAGCATTGAAAAACAAACAAAAAAAAAATGTTATCAGATTTTTTTAAAGCCTGCATTTACTTCTTCAGCTTAAAGAATATAATTATTTTGGTCCTAAAACACAGGTAACAGTGATTCTGAATATATTTAAGTCAATATTCAAACTAAAATTCAACTTTTCTAGTTTAGCAGACCTAACAATTTTTTTTTTTTTACTAAGTATTGTATCCTAGGGAAAATTCAATAATCTGAAGGTATATCATAAAATTCCTTTAAAAAACTAAAATTGGAATGTTTTAAGTCACCAATTTTATAGATTTACAAAGGCCCAGATTTACAGTCTTACTTGGAAATTGGGAAGAAAGAAGATTATAAAGTCTTTTAAGATAGGAAATAGTTGCAAAATCAAATAATGATAAGAAGTCAAAACACACTATTTTGTTTTGGGCTTCAGCAACACCATTACTTTTGATAAATCTTAAACATCAAATAAACTTTTATAAGATTTCTTACAAAGAAAAAATTGTAGTAGGCAGAAAATAAAATTTAATGAAAAATTTAAAAGACAGGGTTTTTCCAAAAGGAATTTGTGGTCTAGTTATAGATAGCACAGAGTTGTTCAAAATACAGAGTGTAACATGGACCAAAGCAAATGATATTTCAGTTATTTCATCAAGGGCAAAGCTCTTTGTTAATAAATCCAGTGACTTACCAAAATAATCTCAGAAGATTACATTGCTTGAACATTAAAAAGTTAATATTTGCAAAAAAGTTAACATTTGCATATATTTCACTTATTCTCTTTGTTTATTTATATATATTTTTATCAACATGCTTTGCATAAAACTGGTGCTTTAAAAACATTTGTCAAGCGTGGCCAGTGTGGCTCAGTCGCTGAGCATTGACCCATGGACGAAGAGGTCACTGGTTCAATTTACAGTCAGGTCATATGCCCAGTGGGCCAAACCCCCAGTGGGGGCATGCAGGAGGCTACCAATCGATGTCCTCTTTCATCAATGTTTCTATCTCTCTCTCCCTCTCCCTTCCTCTCTCTAAAAAAATCAAGAAAGAAAAAAAAAATTTTTTTTTAAACATTTGTCAAATGAGTGAATGAATAAGTAGCCCATGCTAAGGTAGTAAACACATTACTTCAGAGAGCATATACAAATAGGTATCCCAGGAATAACCAGAAAAAGTTATGTATAATTGGTATTATTTGGGAAACTTCCTCTATTTTTTTAATATGTTTTCTTTTTTACTGATTTTTTTTTTTTTTTAGGGAGAGAGAGAGAGAGACATGCATATGAGAAAGAAACATTGATCAGCTTGCCTTCTACACGATCCCTGCTGAGGATCAAGCCTAACCCAGGCATGTGCCCTGACTAGGAATCGAATCGGGACTTCTCAGTGCATGGGTCGACTCTCAATCCACTGAGCCACACTGGTCGAGCAAACTTCCTATCTTTTGGATCGAAATACAGTTTAAAAAATTAAGCAACTTCTCTACACATAATCTTTTGTTGACTATCTGTGAGATAATGTTCCTTCGAGTAACTACTTATGCCAGACCTCACAAGTCATTTTCTGCAATAAGTATTAGTGGGCTCTTAAAAGTAGAAAATAACCAGTGTCTCCAAATCTTATCTTTTAAAAATTTCCCAGAGGGCCCTGGCCAGTGTGACTCATTCTGTACATGGAAAGGTCACTAGTTAGATTCCCAGTCAGGGCATATGCCCAGGTTTCATGCCCTGGTCAGGGTGTGTGCAGGAGGCAGCCGATCACTATCTCTCTCTCACATCAATGTCTCTCTCTCTCTCTCTCTCTCTCTCTCTCAAAAAATATAAAAAAAAAAAATTTAAAAAAATACTCCCAGAATATTTTTTTTACTTGAGAGCATAACACTTTCAAAGAAGGGCTTAATAGGAAAAGAAAAAGATTGAAATGTGACAAGTAGGAATGAAATTGCACTCTTCACTAATCAAGTCTTTTACAAGTTGACAAGCTCTGTGCTGTCTGGGCTATTATTTCCTCTGTTGCTAGAAGAGAAACCTCACTGCCTAACAAAAGGATCCAAGCAATTGAAAAGTTAACATCTGAGCTCTGTCCTAGAAATTTTGTTTGCTTGTTGTATCCTAAGATGCTGGAAGATAGCACAATAGCTCAAAGAGACAGGAGAAATGGTGCAGACGATTTGGGGGTGGGACAAATCTCTCCATGTAATTGCCATCAGGCCTTAGGCTCGAAGGGTCTACCTTATTCCACATACCCTCACTCTGAAGAAACTACAAACAGATACTATTAGTCTAATCCAAACACTCTGATGATTACAATACTTTATTTTAAATGTGCATCTGGCATTTTCAGCCAAAACCTTTTGATATGGATTCAAAAGGAAAAACATAAGGACAGTTTCATTCAATATTATTTCTAGCCCAGTAAACACTATAACCTTAGATGAAACCTCCTGTCATAATATACTTGACTAAATATTTTAAGAAGATAAGGAGATGCAAAGAGGGGATTTCAAATTATGGACTGTATTATTTGGGTGTTAAAAATGGAGAACATTTTTATATTCCTCCAAGTCTGAGGTATGGCCTCCCTCAATACCCAAGGCACACACACATTTTCTGGATTTGATAGAAAAAAATATTAAGCCATAAATGCTTAAAACTAGAAGACACTTCTAATCAATTCAAAGGATTAAATTTATTAAGACCCTTCTATGGGCAGACATTATACCAGAAATATGAAAGTAAATAGCAAAAAAGAGAGAGAGCAGAGAGCAGTCACTGCCTTCCGCAATCTATTTGAGGAAATCTAAACATTAAAAAGAATTTAAGGTAACTTATAAAGCATCACACAGTTTTCCTGACATTCATAAGGGTTACCCGTTAGCTCCCCAAAATATTTGATTAATATTTAAAATTCAAAATTAATATTTTAAAAATACTCCATAGCACATAAATTTCTCTGTAAAAGGAATAAAATAGAACTAAAATTTTCAAGTCATCTCTTTATACTTCTTACCTAATTCTTGCTACTAAGACCTGAAAAATACTTATTGTTTCCACTCAAAATTCCTTTTGTTAGGGGAACTTGAGGACACCGCAGGTGGGAATGCAGACTGGTACATATACTATCAAAAACAATATAGTGTTTCCTCAAAAACACCAAAAATTGAATTGCCATAAGACCCAGTGATCTCACTTCTGGGAATATATCACAAGAAGCCTGAAACATCAATCAGAAAGAATATATGTATCCCTATGTTCATAGCAGCACTATTTACCATTGCTAGGATCTGGAAATAGCCCAAGTGTCCATCATCAGATGAGTGGATAGAAAGGCTGTGGTACATATACACAATGGAGTACTATGCAGATGCAATAAAGAAACATCTCTTACCCTTTGAGATGGCATGGAGGGATATGGACAGTATTATGCTCAGAGAAATAAGCCAGTTGGAGGAAGACAAGTATCTCATGATCTCACTTATTTGTGGAATATAATGAACAAAATAAGGTGATGAACAAAATAGACCCAGAGATGTGGAAGTAGAGAACAGACTGAGGGATCTGCGGGGGGGGGGGGGGGAGCGGGAGGGGCAGGAGCACGTGGGGAGAGACAAGCCAAAGAACTTATAGTCATAACCAATGGACAGAGACAACATTGCTGTGAAGATGGGGGTGGGTGTGTGCTGGAGTGGGGGGTTGATGTCAGTGGGAGAAAAAAAGGAGGTACATCTATAATACTTTCAACAATAATAATAAATTTTTTTAAAATTCCTCTTGTTACACTCATTAAATTCTACCTCAAACTATTTTCCAGCCACATATTTAGTAGACCTTTTTCACTTTTTGTTCAATTCTTTCTCCAACATTAGAAATCAACTACCTCTCCTGACTCCCACAGCTCCTTTTTAGAGTAAAAGCTGTATTTGTTTTATGAGTGATATTGTGTATTCAAACTTGACTTAAAAAATCCCAAAAGTCACATTGAATTAAGGAAACTGAGCAGAAAGCAAAGCACACTTACTAGCTAAGTAAATCACATTCAGAAGTCAACCTTGGAGCATTTGGGATACAATTTGTGTCACAGCAAAATCACAAATTACTGTGTATTGTGGAGCTTTGGGGCATGCTCACATAGCTGAAAGCATGAGACTGGGTACACATATGCCTGGTGTTTTTAGCGAGACTGAAGGCTGCAGGGCACAGAGAGAGTCAAGCCCACATGTGGGGTACATTTGGCCTGCACAGTGTTTGTTTTGGTTTGGGTTTGAATTTTAAGTATTTGACAAAATGCAAAAGTCAGCACAATTCACATAAAAATCCAGATTTCAGCATTCATTTGAAAACTGGGAAACTCTAGTAGCACCTGGTCCATGCCCTACATGGCAGCCACTACCTGGAGCTAAGTACAGCTTCCCCTACGGTCTCCATTTTACCATAATGGCCCTGTCTGGTCCTAATGCTACACGGGCTCTGCCTCTAGTAGCAGAAAATAGTGCTAGACCTAGTGTAAAAACTGGTGTGTCAGTTTCCCATCACTTGCTCATTCAGAAAGTTGATGCTCCATGTTTTAGCTTTTAATGAATTACACTGTTCATTATATAAATTGATTTTGATGAGATGTCTTTAGGCAAATTGATATTTGATCATTTGGTCTTCAAAGGATATGTGAATATACCCTTTGATTTCCAGATTTGGCCATGCTCTCCCGCAAGGTTGAGTAAGGTCACCTCAACTCTAAAGACATTTTATTGGCAGTGTTAAAGTTAGAAAAGACTGAAGTGTGACTTCTTAGAGTTGTTCTTTTTCTCAGGAGCCTGGAAAAGGCAAGACTTGCCTGCAACCATCTTGTTCACTATATTTCTTCTCCAGTTGGATTGCTAAAGTGGCTCAGGTCCTATTCCTAGATTGGTCGCACACTCTCTTTGGACTCTTTTCCACATTCAGCCTGTCTCAGGGCTATTGCCACAGTTATAAATGGCCTAGGAAAGACTC